CCAGCGTGAGTCCAAACCCTCTGCCAGTTGCCAAATAAACTACATTAATAGGAACAGCTACCTCTTAGCAGCTTTTTAAGCACTGTGGCTTTGTTGTAGAGACTTGAGAAGTTTAGTTGAGTTGTCAGGAAGCAACCCAGCAAGCAATGCCTTAGAAACAAGACCTACGGGACTTCTACAGCAAATTTGTGACCACTGTGTTGATTCTGAGATCCAGTGTTTGGGGTAAATCACTTGATATATTTCCTAAAAAGCCAAGTATTTGGAATGGGTGATTCCAAAGGCCTTGGCAGCAGGAATTAATAAAACATTGAAAGAAGGACAACCAGCTGTAGTGAAACCGAGGGATTATATGGTCTAAAGTGCATCTGTGTTTAATAAAAGATCAGCCTTGCCTTAGCGTTTTTAACTCAACGGTAAGTGTAATTTCTGAGGATTGTGGTAATCCTTTGCTTCTGGAAGGGATGGGTGAGAAGCGATAGAAATGTTCGAACCCAGTTATTTGCCAGTGGGAGCTGTGCTATATAATTAAGCTGTCATTTGCACTGATAGGTTATTATCAGTAGGTAATAAGAAATGTGCATCATTATAAATTGTCATCCGGCATCTCCTGCCACAGCAGACGATGTACATCTTCCATGGCAGCACCACATAATCATATGGAGATTGGTGCCATTATGTCTGTTATAAATCATAACATACACTTTAATAGTTAAACAATTATCTATAGTGGCAGTACTGGAAAATTGTTTGGTAATGATTGGCTGATTTTTATGATTGGAATAATTTTTGTGTGTGTGGCTCTTTTTATATAAATACCGGAAGAATTCAAAAGAAGAAAATTCATTTTAAACATACTTAGGAACTTTTTTTGTTTTTGTTTTTTTTGCTGAGCCATCCTGCTACCTGTCGGCAGCTCAGCGGCTGCTCAGCTCGGGCCAGGACTCAAACCACTGTTGCTCAGAGCTCAAACTCTTGAGCGAGCTCTTAACCAACTGAGCCACTCGGCCGGCCCTTCTTGGGAACTTTTTATTTGTTTGGTTCATTTATCTTTAAGTGGAAATGTCTGAAGGGCCAGCAAGTCATCAAAATAGCTTTCCATATGTATATTCTTAGAGGTAAAAATGATATATATTTAGTATTGCTGTTATGTGAAGATGTGTAATGGGACTAAAAAAGCCAAAATTCAGACCTATCTGGTTTTCTGTTGTTGGAGGCCAAGTTAACAAGGGATAAAAGGAAACTATTTCTTTCTTCTTGAAGGGCTAAAGTTACAAGACTTCTCCCGCTTCTTTCTCTTTCCATCTTCTTAGTATTGTTTCTCTGTCACGCATCTGCACTTATCTCTCTTCCCCCATCACGATTTTTATGTCCTTCGAAACTTAGCTCAAATTTACCAGCCATAAGAACCTGACCTTGACTGACCTGACTGTCTCCTCTACTTCACTTCTGCTGTCCTGTGCTGTGCCCTTTTCATAGCAGCTCGGCAGCCTTTTTCTTTGCGGGAATTTTAAAGTTATATAAAAGGGTATGCCTTGCTAACTAGACCATTGTGATCCAAAGCGTAAAAATGTTTGTTCCCAGTATTTGACCCAAGAAAGAGCTTGTACCAGAATGTAAGTCAATCCAATACTAACGCACATGTTTTCGTTCACCCGACTTTTATCATTGCAAGACTTGCCTGAAGAAGGAATTAGCGCAGGTTTTATTCACCGGAAACCTGCACTTAAATAACACAACTAGACTGTATGGATGTTGATGACCACCTTTCCTCTCGCCAGTCCTATGGGAGAGGTGCGACACCCTGATTGTGAGGGATGAGATGGCTGATTGCTGAAGTGTTACCTTCATTGTGCTGATGATCACTAATAAGTCACTTGTGAGTGTTCACTGTGTTCAAGGCCTGCTCTATATAGTTTGCAGGAATGAGCTCACTTGATCGTAACAATGACCCAGGGAGGTGGGCGCTCGCATTTTCCCTGTTCTGAAGATAAAGAAACTGAGGCCCTGAGAGATTAATTAACTTCCTCTAAACCTTAATGTTACTAAGTGGCTGTGTCAAAACTCAAACTCAGATCCGTCTGAAACCAGTCAGTGCTGTCCAATAGAAGTTTCTGCAGAGATGAAAATGGTCTGTGTCTTTTGTATCCAGTATGGTAGCCAGTAACCACATGTTACTCGCCCCCACCTCCCCCATGGCAAGGCTATTTATACTTAATCTGAAATGGTTCTGGAGCACTCCCCTCATAATCCATTTACAATTATTCATTTGCAGAAGCATCAGATCCTATAACCTTCCGATCCCTTCCAATTATTTAATTGTCCAGTCCATTTAAAATCCCAGTCTCATCTCCATATGTCCCTCCAGGTAGACCTGTGGGACCAGTAGTTGCGGGAGGGTATAGAGGCCTTCTAGCCTCCTTCTTCTAACTTCTAACTTCTGGAGGTTGGGGACTGAGAGGGTGGCATAGAGTGAAACGGCCAGGTATTTCCTTACTTAATTAGGCCATCCACTCTTGGTTGTTGCTTCTTTTCCTGGCTAACAGTAACTAACCATTGATACCTTGTGTGGGAATGTTCCAAAGATGGGCTCTCCTATGGGACATGCGTGTGAGCTCTTCCACACACCTATAGTGGCCTCCCTACTGGCCCTCTGGGTGATTAGTCTTCATCTCTTCCTATCCCCTCAGCTCCCTCCTTTGTAGTACAGCTCAACAGGTCTGATGATCTGAGGCCACTTGCAAGAAGGCCAGCCTCGATCCACAGCTTTGCTGGATCAAACACTGGAAATTACGTTTGATACTTTTCTCTATGATGTTTTCCTTTCGTCTGGTACATTTAAGAGCAAATCAACAATCCCATGAGCTGATACAATGTCCAGCCAAGGGATAAGATTCCAGTCTGTGTTAGACAGTTCAGGCTGCTATAACAAAATACCGTACTTGAACTTTTGGAAGCTGGGAAGTCCAAGATCAAGGTGCATGCCAATTCAGTTCTTTCGTGAGGACTCTCTTCCTCACTTACAGATGGCTGCCTTCTCACTGTGTTCTCACATGATGGAGAGAGAGAGAGAGGAAGCAAACTCTCTGTGATCTCTCTTTATGAAGACACACATGTCATCATGAGGGGTCCATCCTCATTCAACTCTGTTTATCTCTCAAAAGCCCCATCACATTGGGGGGGGGTGTAGGGCTTCAATGTAAGAACTTTGGGGAGACATAATTCAGTCCAGAACAGTCTCTTGTGTATAGCCCTAGAGCAGTTCCCATGATGCCCCTGGCTGGTGATTTAAATCATTGCCTTTCCTTTTCCTTCCTGGTATTTTAGCGTCCTGTACATGGAATGGGGGCGGGGTCTTGGGGTGGAGTTCGTGGTTTGGAGGTCATAGATACACTAAGTGTTTGCCTTATTACAAGCTAGACCTGGAGCAGGTGTCTGGACATAGCTATGAAACTCTAGAATGGGGGCCACCATAATGCTTCCTTATTCCCAACATTGGGTTTCAGTCACCAGTTGCAGGGCAAGAATAAAGCCACATTCAAAGTCTTATGCAAACACCATTCCTCCACCCTCTCTCTTGAATTCTGAGCCTCTGCAAGCAGCATTATTTTGCTAGAGTACCACTACTCATTCTTCAAAGCCAGCTCAAATGT